AGTGACAGTGACTGCGTGACACTGATGAGGGACGGTGACAGTGATGGGTGACGGTGACAGTGATGGGGGATAGTGACAGTGACGGTGACAGTGGTGGGGATGGTGACAGTGATGGGGAATGGTGACAGTAAGTGACTGTAATTATTGGAACGGTGACAGTGATGGGGGCTGGTGACAGCGGGGGGTGATGGGGGACGGTGACAGCGATTGGGGATGGTGACAGTGATTGGGGATGGTGACAGTGATGGGGGATGGTGACAGTGATGGGGGATGGTGACAGTGAGTGACTGTAATTGAAACGGTGACAATGATGGGGTGGGGTGATGGAGATAGAGGACGGTGACAGTGATAGAGGACGGTGACAGCAATACGGGGATGGTGGTGACGGGGAAGGGTGACTGACAGTGAAGGAGAAAGCGGGTGTGACAGAAATGGAAAACGGTCATAGTGATAGCGAATGGTGTCATTGAAAGGGGATGATAACAGTAATGTGAGAGTGACAGTGATGGGGAATGGTGATAGTGACGGTAAGGAGGTACACATAGGTGACAGTGACGGGTGGTATTACCAGGGATGCCGAGTCTCGTGACGGTGGAGGAGATAGGGATGGTGTTGGGGAGGGTAATGAGAGACCGTGATGACCTACTACATCAAGGCCCATCTAGTTCAATGAAGTGCAAGAATTTAATAATCAACGTTTATTTAATTTTAATCTATGGGAACCAACCAAGACAGCCTGACAGTTAACTGACAGACTTTGCACAAAGAAGCAAGTGTTTGTATTAGGGCTGCTGAACATTTTTATACAGTAGTAACTTCACAGCTTATCACCACAATCGTGGAAACTAAGCGAACGAAAGTATTAATCAATACCACAAACTTTCCCGGCAATAACGTCTTGTAGATCAATATGTGCACACTTATGTGATAAACTGACCTTCTACGTGGCACGACAGGAGTATTTCTATTGGAATCATCTGAAAGTCACCATGTGCATACGTAGTATACACTAGTATACACTAGTATACACTAGTATACACATATATATATATACATATATCAGGAGTGAATGAAAACAAATATAAATATATATGAACATGTGTAGATATGCTCGTGCTAATACTAATGAGAATCTTTACATTGATTCATTAATTCACAATCACCTAATTACTAATTTCGTTCCTAGTCAATACTCTAGTTAATTATAGATCTATAGCTGTCTCTATTGGTGGTTTCTTTCAAATGTTGTCATCATCAGTAATCAAACACTCCGCTTCTATTCAATAACTACATTGAGATAATTTGATAAAAGTTGCCGAATTCCTACTTCAACAAAACCACTTTTGGTTAGATAAATATTTTATATGGATCGATTAAATTTCAGGTAAAATATCTGCTTTGCGTTACGTACGCGTCTATTCTGTGGATGACGCACGTGATGCTCTATAGTCTATTACATGCTTACGGTCCACGAACTACTGATATAACTCTAGGGCCACTCCAGTGACTCCACCGTCTATTCAGCGCCGCTGTAATGAATTTCTCCTCTCATTCAGGCATTGAGGAAGATGACTGCACGCTAGTCTACGAGATGTACAGTGCCTCAGAATTTCCACTCCTACACGATTCAGCATTGGCATTCTACGAAGAAATTGGAAGCCAATGACGCTGCTCAGAGAGTTTATAAATGCCCAAATTAAAGCTGTGTAATGTAGTTAGCTATATAGTCGGCTTGCGTGCTACAGCATGGAAAAGTAGCCAATCTCACGACCAAACCACAATATCAATATCTTGAGGTGAAAACATGAAAGGCTTCAGTGCTACGCATGCAGTAGGTATTATACGGTGAAATTGACGCAGGCGTTGAGAAGAAAGGCATGAAATATGATAAAATAACGATTTTCTTGCATTAATTGCTGCTGCGGCCGACGTTTATACGCAGAGTCTTGCAAGAAAAAACTAAATCATTTGGCAAGGCATTTTCTCCTTGTACATCAGTGGCTCCGAGTGAGGCAATAAATTGATCACAGTAATAGCAGTAACTTGTGCACACTAACATTAGTGATTTGTGGCCATTGATTTGTGGAGATCGGGTGGCTTACTCCTGCACCCCGGCATGGATCGTCTGTTCCTACCGAGTCTGTAATTGCATTTGATCTGAGGAGGAACTGACTTGCTGTTGCTTGGCGCTACACTCACCAAATATTTGAAGAGGGTAGAGTTGCGATAATGTGTGTTCTTAGCTTATTAACGGCGCAGACGCCGTATTTGAAGGACATCTGCCAGCGAATGCCGTCAGTCACAATGTGTCACGGTGACTTTTAAATGTAATAAAGTGCAATATGGAGTGCAATGCTGCAAATATACTGTAAATTGCTAAAAATTTGCTACTGACACATTTAGGGAAATCGTTAGGTAACGATATAACATATATATTTGGGAATACATAACTTCTAACTACTAATACAAAATATTTTTGTATTAATAACATGTAAGAAACCTTATTTTGGGTTACGGCTAAGAGGAACATTATGACTAATGGCTCGCCTACAAGAGATTGAATTCCCTCAATAGCAGTAACGTTCTGCTAATCTAGTACAAGTGGTGCCACCTGACTGTCAAGGAAATTAATTCACATTTCATTACATTTAGAGCACAACTCACCAAAATTTCCAATGTTGACCATGGGTGTGCAATGTTGGTTATTGCTAAACTTATAATTACTCTCATAATTTAGTTAGCATTGGAGACTTTCTTTGCAGATCTAGGGTGTTCCGTAAATAGACAAATTCACATCTGATAACTTCTAAATAATGGAGAAATTTAAAAGCATCTGCGTTGAAATCAATTGTGGTAAAAAACAAGAATTTATATTGTGGTGTCCCATGCATGTACAGAAGGCAGCATCTCTGTCCTGTCAGCAAAACTGACCAACTGATGTAATCCTGACCTATGTTAGCAGACGTCACACACAGAAGCACGTGACACTTTTATATCCGCATTGCGTACACAATACATCAAAATACTGCTTATTGGAGAAACAATTAACCCACTGTTGACTGTGGGTGCATAGCATGTCAACACACATCAATTACTATACTGTTGTCCGAGGGTACTGGATATGTCAACACACTGATTATTGTGGAAGAGATGGTTTGAAAGCACTGTGAGAATAAAATGTGAACACTTACCAATTGAGCGAGAACTATGATGACTCCAACTTGCCTCATGAGGGTAGACTTGCCTCCCATGTTGGGACCGGTTACCAGCACCATGCTACTGTTGTCTTGCATTGAATCTTGCTCCTCACCTTCCAAATCCTATTGGCATGCAAAGTTCAATAATTTACCTACACAAAATTGTCATACGCCATAATTATTTTACACAATTATGTCAATATTATGTCACGGGAGTTCTAGTCTTTGTATCTAACTGCAATCCTAGTGTGTGAAATGACTATATATGAGTATTGTAAATAGGCTGGTATATTAACTAGGTGTACAAGAAATTGCGTACAAATCACCAAAAAATGAGCACTTCGGCAATGTATGGCTTATAATAAAGATGAGAGTATTTTTGCGGTTGCTGGTTACAGAAACGCCACTGAGACTTACATCCTTGGTTCCAATCACGCAGTGGTTTGGAATGTAGTCTTCTCCACTGTAGGTCTTACAGATGCACGGATGTCTTCCACTACGGATCTTAATAAATGGCTTAAATGGACAAATAGCACATTATAAACACATAGTAAATACTTAAAGAATGGCAAGTAATCATAACTGAAGGAGAGAATTGGCAAGAAAGAACGAATTTACTTTATTTACCTTATTTTTAAGAAAATTATTTTTTTAAGGATTTTTTCTAAGAGAATTTACGAAATCATACTTGGATGTCACTAGATGGCAGCACAAACTCTGGCCGGCACATGGGACCGTCTCCACACCGACTATAGTAGGCAAGAGTCAGCAACACATCGAAGACTGCCAGGCACTGTACCACTGCTTCCCACATCTTGTAACTGTGAACACAAACACATATTATATCGCAAGACAAATAATAGAAAGAATCAAATCCATTATGCAAACATATGCTTTTACTTAACCATTCTATACTTCTCAATCTCAAACCAACACTCTTCCTCACATTGCTTACAGTTGCTTTATCTCATGCACCTTCTACGAACACGGTAACACCAGAAAATCATCACCAACTACATTATCATTCGGCAAACATGCAGTAATGACTATAGTTGGATCTCTTCACTCACTGCTCGTCGAAGGTGTGGAAGATGGAGCGCATGCAGTCACGCAGCGCCGCGTGTCGCTGATCCTCTGCCGCCACCATGCGCGCAAGCAGGGCTTCAATCTCTCGTGTCCAGTAGCGCTTGAAGCCCTTCCGCTGCGACTTTAGTTCGTAGGCATCAGGGACCTTCTTCAGGGCAGACTCGGGCACCTCCAACTGGAAGCGATTGCGGCCAGTACCCCAGTACTCAACGTTCTGCAAAAGACAATGGAATACTTTAGGCGACAAAGCGTGGGGAGGTGGGAAAATAAACTGGAAGGTACGCTGCTTGCATAGTTAATTGCTAGTGCTTGAGGTGATTGGCATATATATAAACTGCAACAGGGAATGGTTAGCAGTCAATTTTACATACTTTTGCACCTAAAAGTTTCCTCTGTTTAGCGATGTAGTCATTCAAAGCTGTAGTTGTGTCGTTGATATCACAGACAGCACTGTCATATTCTGGTATCACACCTGTCAAGATATGATTGCAATTAAACACATGAATAAAAACACTGCCATTAAGGAAAGGCATACGAGTTTAAAGGCATAAGTTTATTTCGGGTCATATTCAACCATAACTGTCTATAGTCAACGAACGTAACTGTGCCATTATGACATATTGCTCGTTGACCTAAAATTCATTCTGCATCCAATACTCGTTTAGCCTTTAAAAGACTTTCACATTTGCTACACACCTTCAGTTGGCTCTATGACTCCCTTTGTACGAGCCCTTTCATGGTTAAATGCTTCCTGAAATACAGATGAAAAACAGATGATTTAAATACACTACACATTACCTTTAGTTTTTAATTTGAGTCAATATTATAATTGTTATCACACTGTTTAAACACATGCCATATGTATCAGGACACTTGCAAGGTAAGTTGAAATTTATTATGGCACTGAATATATTATGAATTGTTAATTAACATATCAAAGAGCAAGAATATATTAAATCACAACCAGAGTATAATTTTGGGGATTATTGTGGTACTTGGGATAGTAGTATGAGGTGGATTATAAATGCTTCACGAAGTTAATTACAAAATCAGAGAAGCACTCAAGCTGCAAGCAATCAGGTTCAAATCTTGTTTGTGACGCATGCGACCAATTATGGGTCCAATAAATGTGCCCATTTCATTACTATATTAGTTCAAATAACAGCACTGAAGGTGTATGTACCTAGTAGACCTATCTTTGTGACAATGATGATGCAATTATTTAAATGGCACTGAGAGCTATCACATCCTGCATTATAGTTTATCTTGATTAGGCAGGATTGTTTATCCACAAACACCATTCAATTACAGCCACGCAACCATTGTATTTTAGTCTGGTTCTGAGTCTCAATATTCCAATAGGTAATCAATCAGGATGCTTATAAGGATCCAGGTCTATATCATCCGGGATGCACAGATTACTCTGCCATCCACTTATACTGAGTATGGACCTGAGCATTATAGTGATCATCTAAAACAGAACATACGCTAAACGCAGACACCTGCTAAATATACAAAGTATTTTTAGAGTCATGGACCACTTTGAGAATCTGGTGAAAGCTACAGACCCCTCCACAGAAAAAGGCACATAAGCACATAAACACACAATTTTGCATACAATTGTGTTCACGGACCCCCTGAAGCCCATCCATGGTCCCCTTTGCATGGACCCCAGGTTAAGAACCCCTGCCCTAAAAGAATATATATAGTACTGGATTTAAACAAACGATAAACATAATAATGTAGTAATTAATTCACAGCACCTTGAAAAACTTTAACTGCATGCTTATGTCCGGCACTTTCCCACCATCCTCCGTAAAATTCACACAATGAGTCAGCAGCTTAGATCTGAAAAATCAAAATGTTTTAACTATAGCTATATATACTGTTGTACATTGCAGTATACATACGTCATGCACTCACATACACCTTCATGTCTTGTGAATCATTTTCAGACAAGTGCATTTTATATAGCGATATAGAATTGAAGCACAGTATTATGGTGAATATTAACATTATTTTCTGTACTGCAGTATACTTGGAATATTTGTCGATTTACAAGAACCAAATATAGGTTACTCTGAATAGATAAAGCAGTATTCTATGAGGATATAAAAAACGTTTGATCTACCTACTTTATGCACGAGACTTCGTCTGAATCAACTGTGGACTGACGACATTTTCTCAGAATTTTCATTGCCAATGCAAAACCTTCAAGTGTGGCTAGGAAGTCAGTTATTTTCTTTTTGCTATAGAAACAGAATAACATATTTTTTTTAAATATGCCCACAAAAATTTCATGACAATTATTGTCACCGAGATATGAAATGCAGAATGAAAAACAGCATACAGCAGCCTTTAACCAAGGGCACAGAACACGAGCTAATGCAACAGCCATACGTCAATAGCACTTCTGTTCTATCCTTACGATTTAATTAAGCTTTTTAGTAGAAAAAAACAATTGCTGTATATAGGAACAAATCATTATTGACCCTCAATGCAAAATTCAAAAGCACTGTATCTTTACAACTACATCGAACTTACGTGCGCATGATTTGTAACTTGCATGTTATATTTTATTTGTATGTCAAAATTGTGTGTGTAAAATTCCTTACTATAGTATAATAATGTGACTCACTTATAGTTATAAACAGCAAGAACTGCATGTCTAGACTGGTCCCGAGTCACCAAACTAATGCATGACTAACTCCAAACTAATTCATGACCAACTACAAACTAATTCATGACCAACTACAAACTAATGCAACTTCAATGACAATAAATCAGCAGAGTGGCAAAAAACTGCCACTCCTAAAAGTGCAAGGCAGAATGTGTGGTATTGTATGCAACTCAAGGAAACAAAATGTTTTACCTATTAGTTCATGAAATGTAGGTGTTATCTGTTTTATATATCACAGAGCAACAGAATAAAAAAGGTGGCAGTTTGATACACTGACATTAAATACAAGTTTACGATCAGTCATACCTGTAAGCACCATCATCAAAAAAAATTGCCCGACTGTCAGGATGGTTTTCGCTTCTCACTGCTGAACCCATGGTGTGGATTCTGCACGGGAAAAATCATTGTCATACAATTTCATCAGCATAACCAGTTGAAAATAACTTCCAAACTAATGAAATGATATTTTACACTATGACACGAACAAGTGAATAAATTGCCATACTTACTTAGCCAGGAACCGGTCAAAGTCTGGCAGCTTTGCCATCATCTCTCGCGCTTCATCCATCATAGCAACATTGTTAAGGATGTCGTCAATGGCATCCAAGCGATCATTGATGGACGCTGGGTTACACAGTGGTGCACACAGCCATTGTCTGAGAAGTCGTTTACCTAAAAACATGCAGTCATTTATAGTTGAGAGAATAAATATGATTTTGCCTACTAAAAAATGCAGAAAATTTTAAACTAATAAAAAGCACGTTACTCACGCAATGACTATACTGTGGACAGAGTATCAGTCGATAGATTAATCAATAATACTAAAATTTGTGATGACCGTTTGCCCCCATATGGGCTTTACATACCAAACGGAGTCTTGCATTGGTCCAGCCTTTCTATTAGCGTTCCTTCAATTGTACCAGAGACACTGTTTTCCAAAATGTCTAGGTTTCTCAATGTGATTCCATCAAGCACCTGCCCAAAGACAGATATGCGGCGCTTGATATTATCATTGCAATCCCCTTCTTCTTTATAAATTGCAGTTATCATATACAGCACTGAGTATATGACAGGGTCAAGATCTTATTAGAATGGGTGAACTAGCATGTAAACATAATGTTAAACACAACAACAAACACAGTTTTGCGGTTCTCAGCTAAGCATTAGAGATGAAAGAGTATAATTAACACACTAAACAAGAATCAAGACTATACCATGTGCTGTCGACCTGTGGCAAATGACACCCGAGATGTTTGTAGTCGATCAACTATGGCGTTCGGCTCTAGATCAAGTGGATGGTATTCCTCAAACGCTCTCATAGACAGTAATTCCTGTTCTAGGCAGCATCGTTGTAAATACCTGGTGCAAATAGTAACATAATATCAGGAGTAGATAATAGAGATTATACTATACTATAGACTCTATATTATCTACTCCTGATAATATATATATAATACATAACATAATATATATATATATATATATATTAATATATACAGGGTGGTCCACAACCTCAAATTCAAACATGTAACACTGGAAACTTTAGAAGAGTACTTTAGATATTATTTGAAATTATGTGCGCGAAGCCCACAGCAAGAGCGCAAAGAGTAAAGTCACTTGCGGCCGGGGTCCAGAAGCTCAGGGGTTTTAGATGCTCTCTGGCAGTCTGGTGCAATCTGAGCCTTATTTTGGAGCATTTTCGCACAAAATTTATGAGCTATATTTCAAAGTAAATTGGGTTGATTCAAGAGTCACGAGTGATGTGTCATTTGTGTTCATGTGTCAAGCCGATATATATAGCCATTATATTTTTAAAACAATAAAGGTTGTTTTGTGATGGTATAGAACATAACACGCCTTGCAAGCAAACTGAATTATTTCCAACTGTCATGAACGATAACCACACGCTGCTTTAGAGGTTAGACAGTATGACGGAGACGTACGTACCAGGTGCATGCTCCCAGAGCTCGTACAGCAAGCTCATGGTCAGTCGATGCTGTCATACCAATACTGTCTCCTGAAAGTAGATACCTTCTATGAAAACATTTTACTTAATACACTCTTCCTCAATGAAGTTATTACGAGATATGAAGTTGATTTCACAATTTTGTTGTCAATGAACCGACTCTTTACAGAGCCTCATTCCACACATTTATGTAGTAATATACATGTTCCTACACGGCCACGTTTGTACTGCGAGTTGTTCGCTAGCTTATGCCATTTCACCTCGTCATCGCATCCCGCGATCCGAGATTCTGACAAATACGAGAACGTCGCATTTCACCCACCATCCGAAATCATCTTCTTCAGCGTGTCTGGCCATGGGACGCCTTCCTGCTCGCCGCCGGCATCGGCCACAAAGTACTGCCCCTCGGCAAGATACTTCAGAGTCTTTGACGCTTCCCAGAACTCACTGCCGCTGTGGAGAGCGTCGCGCAGCGCCAGCGGGAGATTCTGCCGCAGCACTGCATCAGTCTTCTGCGATAGTTTCCCCTTCTCGTAGAGCAGCTAGGAACACATACACGATAGTGGTCACCTCATCGATTCACATGTGATAGGATGTAGAGATAGTGTCTATAGCTTGCTGCCTGCCAATGTCTATCAAGATAACTGTAAGGTATGTATCTATCAGGATACCTGATCAAGTTGTGGCTGGCTGGACGTTGTTTTTTTTTTTTTTACGAGCTCTCTATCAGCCTATAAACTATGTAACAGAAAACACAACATAATTCCATAACACAGACTAGACTGAATTCCATGTCTTGTTGAATTAAAACTATGGGAACATGCAACAGCATCAGAGGGCAAAGCAAACTGAAAACAAGTTAAAAAACAAAATGTTTTTTTTTAATTATTGATCAGTACCAACTATTTACCTGGGCAGGTGTGTAATGGGCAATCAGAGTCCTGAGTCTGGAACAATGCCTGTCATCTCTGAATTGCCCCATCTGTGAATACAAGAATTTTCAGTAAATAATGTTCAAATTATTAATTTCAAAATAATTTCAAACATTTATCGATTATGAACAACAGTAAAACAGGTCGCATCATGATCCATGGTGTGTAAAAAGATTGAATTCCCATTTCCATAGATGAAACTAGAATAGAGGGACTAATAATACCCCCCCCCCCCCGGCTTCGAGCTGTTATGGTGCCTGTATGTGTATTGTAGAATTTGTACGAACTTGGCAATTTGGCAACTGAAATCGCCAGTGTAAACGCAAAAGTCGCGCGTCCAACCGATCGATGGTAACGAGTCGGGAAATTAGAACACGTTCTAATTCACCGACTCGGAGCAGGCGAGTTGGATGTTTTTTAGTCAAGTGGCCAATCAGAGAACATCAATCAGGGGTGTGTCCCTCCAGTCTAGTGGGAGAGCTCGTTTTTGCTTTACGCGCCACGCTGGCGGCGTGTAATACATGCAAAAATGCGTATCCGCGTCGACCCGCGCACACGCTACGGGTCAAATGTTGAAACGTTTGCCTCCTCGCGGTCGATAACGTAAGAGCTTTGAACATATATAGAGAGGTTGGTAGAAAGAAGAAAAATGCCAACTTCACGGCATAAAATCATCAGTGTAAACCTTAGAAATCATCCACTAGACGGCGTTGGCATGTCATATATAACCAAATGGGTTTATTTACAGAAAACGGCCATTTTTTCCAAAAATGTCGGACAAAAAAAAATTCATCGCAGGTGCACATATACATTGGGTACTGGTGATGTGTAACAAATATTGTTGAAATCGGTCCAGTACCTTTAGAGGAGATGTCCGGACAAGTCTGGTGGCGGACAGACGGACAAACAGACAGACAGACAGACCATGCATGCAAGCGTTTCCAGAATACCACCCCCCTAACTTTGTTGGCGGGGGGTATAAAAATTCCACAAAACACACAAACAGGTCCTTATTCATGAATAGGGAAGGAGAAGCCTATAGTGGGTCAATTTTACAATTGTGATATATAGTGTGATAGTTGAATTACTATCGTGGAAACTATTGCAGTAATTGCTAAACTACTGAGATGCTGTTGATGTATTATCATACTGTGTTGCAGCAGGTCTCGTTTTGGTTTGCATTATTTACTAGAATAATACCCTGTCATTCCACTCACACACTTGTGCATAGCAAATTAACTAGTTGAGTGGACCTTACATAGATTAACTGGGGACCGGTTAAACTGTCTAAAAACGACGACGGAAGTGCCGGTAATGGTTTTCAGTCACATTTACATGTGAAAACCTCTCTTTAGCAGTAAATAAACCAACCTGTTGTTTTAAATGTTGCAACTATCAGATATGATCGATTGTTCAGTAAACTATCGGTGATAGATAACTTTGCGTTACTTTGTGTTCGATGCAATGCTATCAAACCAATCACTACAGCAATCGATCAATAGTTCGATGCATCATTAACTCCGCCCAACGGAGTTGGAGGAGGTTATGTTTTCGCTCTCGTGTGTTAGTGTGTTCGCACGATTGATATTAGCGCGGCGGTCGATCGATATCACCCAGCAAGCCAACGAGTCAGCTAGCCAGCGAGCCCAGCGAGCCAGCTCGTAACACATACATGTTACATGGGAGCGTGTACATGTCAGTACACTGGCGTATATCGTCGGTTATTCGTGTGTTCGTGAGTCGTATGGCGTATGGCGTATGTCGCTGGCGGAGGTATGCACTCCGTGAGTGCCCTCTGTCTAGTTACACTTGTATCGATGAAGTTTGCTGAAGGTCTAAGATATACGTAAGGTATATTCACATAATTACACCACTAAATTCTAAAGGTAATACTGCTGCCGGCCGCTGCCACCGACACCACCACCACCACCACCACTACTACTATGAATAATAATAAATAATAATAATCATAATAATAGGAGTAAACTCACATGAAACTTCCCAATGGATGTGTCAACAAAGCAGACACCATACAGACTCTCTCCTCCTGCACACTCGTCCAACTCCTGCATGTAAATAAAGAAATCAAGATTAGCATTCATCCGACTTGTTCCATGGGGAGTCTTATGGTACGATATATCACTGAATGATTGACCTAGACTGTTGGATAATGCTTTGGTTATTTCAAAATTAAATATGGAAAGCACGGCACCCACCCCCCGCCTCTTGATAAGCTGAGCTATATCAGAGGTCATAGACCCATCCTATTACCAGATGAAAACATACTAAAAATATCCCGCATACATTGATGGGTACAGGTATACACTAAATGCAACACAACAATGAGCTGAAAGTCTTGACAACGAGACGCTCGCGCGGGCACGGCCACGAGGCGGAAACCGCGAGCCGGCCAAGAGACGCTCACGCGTGGCCGCGGATGCGAGACGCTCGCGAGGCCACGAGGCGCTCGAGCAGGCGCGGATGCGAGGCGCTCGCACGGGCACGGATGTGAGACGCTTGCAAGGACACGAGTCACTCGCGAGGCGACGAGGCGCTCGCGAGGCCACGAGGCGCTCGCGCGGACACGAGGCGCTCGAGCAGGCGCGGATGCGAGGCGCTCGCACGGGCACGGATGTGAGACGCTTTCAAAGACACGAGTCACTCGGGAAGCAACGAGGCGCTTGAGCGGATGCGAGACGCTCGCGCGGATGTGACGCTCGCAAGGACACGAGTCACTCGCGAGGCCACGAGGCCACGAGACGCTCGCGAGGACACGAGGCGGACACCGCGAGGCTGCGAGCGCCGTGTCTCACCTTCTCGGCGACGGCGAGCAGATAGCTGCTGTCAGCCTCGGACGGATCGCCGTCAATCACGCTGTACGTCCTTGTTCCCTGCGACGTCACGCGGCATATCTCTCGCTTCACGACCTTGTCGAACTTGGTTGGCGCTCGTGCCACTGCGAAGAAAGTGCACGTTTGCAATCGCTCGTTCACGTGACGGCTAACGAAAGCCGGCAGACGACCGCGCGAACTCACTGCGACTGCACTGGACCGATAACGCAGTGGCTGTTCAGAGATCGTGCTGAACATTTTCGCGCATTTAAGAACAATCTTGGCGACAGATAATTTGTGGGACAGGATCAAAGTGCTAAAAGATTAACCTATGCCTCAGAGCGCATCAGTGGTCTAATAATAGAATGTGGGAAACAGAGACAATTAAGCTCTTACACTGACTGTATTGTAAAAAATGAGTAACTGTCAATTCGTTTAATCAGAACTTGTGATTTACAGGTCGACCACCGCAGTTAGACATCCAGTGACAGTAAACTGACAGCAGATTTTGCACGATCGTAGTGTTTATACGACTTGTACTTTGCTTGCAACGCTCGTCCATCATTGACGGTGTCTCCGTCTGTTCAACTCTAGCCACACGATAGCCTTTTCGTATCAGGGTGTCAGCATAGCGGCCATAGGCGATCTCAGGAAAACCCGAGTGGGCATACTGTCCCTGTAACGTTTGAGCTCTCATCACAATCAAACTCTACACAGTAGACATATTATTGAGGCACACTGAGAAGAGCTATAGAAAAACACAGGTTCAGGAAATTTTCTTCAGGAGTCCCAAATATGGCAGGAGTACTAATCCGGGGCATGTAATGAAGACAAAAGAATTAAGGGTACACTCAGGGTTGTAGGTTAAATTTTGTCAAAATTTCAATACCCATTTTTATTTGATAGATGGCGCCTCTGGGCAGCTATCTATGTGGTCTCCCAAACAGTACAAAATCCCTGTGTATTTCCACATATGGTTTTGTGCATCTTTTTAACTTTTTTTCCTTAAATACAGCATTTAAAAAATTCCAGGTACTCTTTACTAGTGCATACTATGAACAATGTAGGGCTAAACGTTTAGGTTCCCAACCTTTGCTGTTTCTGAGGAATATGGGAAAAATCATTTTTCAACCTTTTTACAATTTTTGCTGTCATGTAATTAGCGAGCAAGTTTCTGTGATTATTTTCACGATGAGCGTAGAAAGATATCTCTTTTATTAAATAAATGTGTTTGATTGGATTTGATGAGATTTGGTTGTAATGCCCTTCACATTGGTACCGGTCCGTAACGCTGAGTGTATCCTCAAGACAAGGGAATGAGAGATAAGAAATAATACACTAATCCATAACCTATCTACTAAAACTGGGAATAAGATATGGATTCCAAATTATTATTAAACACAATAAAATAATTTCACGAGATTTGAAGGAAGGGAACATTCTAAGACTAACCTTCATAAAGACTAGTCCCAATTCATTTACTGCTGTAACAGCATCCATGTGATAGAGTTCATAGAACTTTCCAACCTAGTTGTGTAAAAAAAATATGGATTTGTCTATATAAACCTGAAGAGCATATAGTATATGATATTAATTTTATTATTATATAATTTTAAAATGTAATACACTGAAGGACAGTAAGGTTATATACTATATGATGTAAGTAGAAAGATATTGGGTGTATCACTGGGGGAACTATATACACAAGTGGTAACTGAAATACAAATATGTCCAGAAAACTTACCTTGAAAAACAGGATTGTGTCAAAATGGTTGCTCTTCATTCCCCACCACTGCCGTAATGCCTATGAACATATTACGAAATATCAATAACCAACAATCACCCCTATTACACATTTACTCTAGGCTTGAAGAAGGATGGAGAGAGATATAGCTAAACTCTGTATAGTTCAGTGGTAAACAACTTGGCACTTTAAACTGTGGTGTACTATTATATATAAATTCCATATATCAACTATAAATATAGAAACATAAGTATATACAATGAGATCTCAAAAATCTCAGATAAAAAGCCACCATAACCAACATAACGCCCTTAAACGTCAGAGAGCAAGACATAGACATATTCCAATTTGGAAATAGTATCTTACAGGAGTTGCTGTCTTTAGGAAATGCTCAGGAACATATAATGTCCTCGGATCATAGTCAAGATCATTACGGAACCGTTTCTGACCATCCCTGCAAATAAGCAGTTATATCAATTTTCACAAAATTGCACTTTTTAACACAATTTCATAATTTTTTGTTTAAATCACAACTAAATATTATTCCTTCCAACAATTATAATGATTGAATGGTATGATTTAATATCAAATATCAACTGTAAAATATTCTATAGTCATAAAAATACAGTTCACAAACATCTGGAACAGGCTGCCGTTTGCCAATCTTGTAAACAGACTGGCATGGTGAACAGCCATCTATAGCTCTAGCTAATTAGCATTCCAATAGGCCATTCTAAATATATAATACTCAGTAATAAAGTGCTGCAAAGGCAACATTTTGGTATGCACGATAACACGGCACGTATAAAGTATATAAGCTTGATGGATCAAGCAACAATATCCAAGAGGGGCACGATTAAATTGCTCAAGTGGATAGCTCAATTAGTTATTAGGCCATTCATTTTTTACTCTATATTATCCGGTCAATTGTTCATCGCAATCTGTTAGGTTGAAACGTTCTCAATCTATCCCCCTAACAGCAGGGATTCATACCACCCCCACAATAATGTACCGGTATTTGATGGTAAAATCCTACAATGAAGAAGGAAATATAGGTGAGAAATAGGATCAGATTGAACACAACAGCTGCTATGATTGACTAATGGCTCTCAATAGCAAAATGTGCCATACCTTATCTTCGAATCCTGTAGGAAGTCGAGACTGAGATGAGCAAATTTTCCCTCTCCTTTCTGGTTTTCTCCATCAGTTACGGAAGGTGACTGCACAGAATCACAATGATTGCCATGACCATAATATTAGTTACAATGAAAGTGTCAATGACACTGTCCTGACTGTAGCTCACCACAAAAAAGGACACAAATGAGTGAGTGATAAGAAGTCAGTTCTAATTGAGCAACCATCGACGTACATTATAGAAACGAAGAGTATATATGGGAGAACTCCCATTATATACTCTTGATAATTATATGTGTAATTTTTTATGTGAAAATAAATGTTTGAGATGTGAAAGTCTGAGATGTGGGCGAGTGATGGCGTTACACCTGAATGATCGCCATTTAACGTTATAATATTCAGATTTAGGCACTGCCTAAAAGCGGAGCTCCCGATGTGTAACGTGTAAGATTGAGAGGATACGCTTATTCCACGTAGCTGCTATATACCACGTGACAATGGTGTTTCCCTGCCCATAACACAACTTTTGTCAAAGGTTAATTGGTTGCATGGAAGTATTTACTTCCTATGAGTTTTTCTAGGCGGTAGCACACGGTTGCCATCTGTATATCGCAATAATAATTTATAAACCAAAATGAATCACAATTTGTGACGGTAGATGGCGCTATACCCGCTTTGATGTTTCTTAGCGATGGCGTTAGAAATAAATAGGTTATGCTGCGTTCTGACATGTTTTGTAAAACTTTACTCTAATATAGACGTTTTATCGGCAGGGTGGAGAGGAAATACCAATTTTGCATTAAAGATATTGTCAATGAAATCTTGTAAAACGAACCAGACGAGTGTGACACCACACTGTTATCTGCGTGTCTATATAATATGCTATATAATTGCCAAAACCTATTTAATTTGCATAATTTTTTTTTTAAATATCAAAATCCCTGGCCCTTATTCATTCACATACCAAAAATGAGCAAAATCCGTTAAACCTGAACTGACTAATGGCAATTCCCATTTTTGCTAAAAAATTGCCGTGGCTCGAAAGTACGTCGACTGGTGTGCTCCAAAATAGGACGTTCAAACCTCTCCCATAGCAGTAACAACTATACCCAATTTCAAACATGTAGGTGAAACGGTTCCTGAGTTATCGTTGACCGTAGCCAAATGTTGACGGAAGGACGGAAGGACAGACGGACGTACGACGGACGACGACCCATGGCAATAGTACTTCCTAGTGAATTTGCAGCTAAAATGATAATATTCTGTAATCAAAATATCCTGTTACTAGACACACATACTACAATGTATGTACACAACGTAAAGATGCAATTACCTCAGGTGCGGAAAAGAGCGACAGTCGATTCTTCGTCCCACTGCTGACTGTAGGGGTTGTCTTTATTCTATCACTAGATGGCGTTGATGGCAGAATCCTTCTATCAGGTGTTTTCATATCATCGAGGTGGTTATTTGTTATCATTTTTGCTTTGCCAGCAGATACCGAACGTCCTCCGGCTGGCTTCCTTCGCTTCTTGATGAATTTAATAAAACACGTGTAATATATAAGCTATCGACAAGAAAAGTTGAGCAAACACAATTTACCCAACGGAGCATATACAGGATACATGGGAATAAGAACACATAATTATCTTACAAACTCGCACATAATTTTGCAAGAGAACTACTTGATTCCAATGCTAGGATAGAACAGGGTCAGATACACAGAGCACAGTTGACGATGTACATATAGCCGCCACCACTAATAGAACAGGTGAATCCCCATTTAAACCACATACACGAGATTGGTCCTTAACAAAACTGAAGTAGGTAGAACAACAACAACAACAACAACACCAGAGCCACAGTATGCAGACAGCAGCAGAAAAACATTATTCGTCTCAAGTAATACACAACTACATTACAGAGTAGCATATTCTGATCTCATTCAGGAATAGCAGGAGAGATCAAAATCACGGCCTGTGGGTTTAGAACTTCAGGCCATGGTTGCTGCCCTTACTTGCTGTGGTACACATAATAATCTGGTTAATATCCACAGCAAGTTGTCATGGCTACCCTACCAGGTTTGCTTCCACGCTCTTCCCATAAATTCCAGGCTGTGAACATCACTTGTCTTACATAAAAAACTGCTGAATGCTGATGAATACCATGTTTTCCTTGATGCCCCCTCCAACTTGCCACCGTCGCGTATAATTCCTGATTTCTACCAAGACAACACTTGCCTTGCCCTTAAAAAACTGAAATTCGATCCCTGTAGCTGCTTGGCCAGAACCTAAAATACTACCACCAGAGAAGAATTAAGGCTGTACCTTTACGGGGGATTCGTCATCAGTTGGGGTTTCCTTCTCAGAAGACTCACTACTCTCATCTACTCCACTGCTGCATGACTGATCACTGCTCTCTACCGAGTCATCCACAGGTTTGTATTCGTTTTCTAGTAAACAACACATGCAAGACAATTTCATTTATGCAATAATTATGCTGCAGTATTCACTGCATTTCTTAGGCACAGAAAATATGTGGCATTATGATGCAATTCCCTTATAAATATGGGCAAATGTGTGACACATAATTCATGTAAACTTGCATGTAAAGTACAGTAGGGATACCTGAAACAAGCCAGTACTACAGTCTACATACCTTGTATTTCACATATAAAGGAACATTTGATAACAAAATGAAAAAAAATCATTGATGACATTACTTTACATGCTATGGAATATAAAGGTTTCATTTTTAACAGCAATATGGTAGTCATATATTATTAGTGTTGTCAATCGGTTGTAATTTCGTAATCGATCATCGGTTGGACCCAATTAACCGACGATTGGTTACAATCGGTTACTCGGGGTGTTGAATGCCCACGTTTGCTTAACGTCGTGTGCATGTACGTGTGTGCATGTATATACTTGTTTAGCCAGCGTATAAAATCCCTAGTGTGTCCTAGGCTTTAGCCCCTCAACAGGAAGTAACTACGGCGAATGTCGGGTGATTCCCGAACTAAAATGGCGATGATATCTCTGATTTTCATCACTTTTCCAAGTTTTCTTGTTCAAGTTTAACATTTATTTCGATTATTATTATTATTTTTTTTTTTTTTTTCGATGAAATTGATTACAGATTTTGATAACCAAGCGCTTGGTTCGAGCCACTGATCAACCGATGATCGAGTATAATCGATGATCGTGACATCACTATATATTATGCAGTAATATTTGTAATTCCCAATCTCATCTGCATAATTACCCGATTCACTGTCACTGGCGGCAATTATTCGTCTGCGCTTGGAAGACTTTTCTTTCCTGGCTGATCCTTTTCTTCTCTTTCTGTGACTTCCCTACATATACATAAAAATGTTAAATGCTATCACAAAGGAATATTAGTTAAGGACAAAATAGCACTTTATGTATAAATAATTGCATATTATTCATGTGGCCGTACCTATGACATCAACAGTCTAGAATTTAATGTATCTTTTATCAAATCAAATCAACAGCATTGATGTAGGCATAATATGGTTCATCTGCCTGGATTGACATTTAACAAAACACCGACTTCTTTACCGATGCGATATTAAAGTTTTAAAGCAATTTGAAACCTGCCTGCATGTTAGTAGCATCATCATCTTGGTTGCTAGTCACATGATTTTCTTTGCTATCGTCGTCACTGCCACCGTCTTCTATATAAACAAGAACTCTTAATTGTAACATGCTCAACCCATTCGCTGCTAAAATGCCAAGTATGGTTTAGCACATCTACCATTTAATTTGACATCTATTATAGTGTAACTATCAGAAGTGTTAGTTATCCCACTTCTGACACCATGTAATGTCGCTCTTGCTGGGACATTCTATTAGGAACCACGCTAGGAGATAACTACTAAGTCAGCCATGTACGTTAGGAGAGAGAGAACATGCTCTTCTGTTTATTAGCGGTGGCAGCACTTTACGATACATCACACCTAAACTAACAAATATCCAACATAATCTGCCACATACAGATCTTGGTCTAATTTATGCACTCGTTTGACACAATTAACAGGCGAAAGTCACTTGCTTACCGTCCATGTCCATGAGGCTGTCGTCATCACCATCATCATCTGATGAAGCCTTGCAAACAACTAGCGATTCTAGCCTTTCCTCAGCTCCTAAGCTTAACGCCTTCTCTGCCTGTAGACAACCCCTCTTCCATTTGGGGTCTCCGCTGAAACACAGCCCACCACGCCTTGCCTCCGCACTATCAGTTCCCTTAAACTCCCTCACGAACCTGGATAACACAAGATAATAATTAATAGTAGTGATGGGAATCGGTTGGAATTTCATAATCGATTATCGGTTTCCCTTAACTGATCGATAATCGATTATAATCCGATAATCGGTTAATAATAGCATAGATTTAATTTAATCTTACTTTGTATATATACAATTATACATAGCATTCAATATTATCATGTTTTATGATCATGTATCAACTCTGTGAAGGTTGCTGTATGTATATCAATGTCTGTTCCTAAACAGTATTTAATCAATTTAAAAAGAAATGGTTTAAATGCCTTTATTAAAACATTAAAAGTTTTAAACAAACATGATCAAGACTTGTTCTTGTTCTCATACAAAGACACTGTCCAATTTGTCCATGTCTATAAGTACACTAGTACAGCTCTGCAATCAGACAGGACCTATGTTAACAGTAACATTAGCATTAACCTTACGTTTCTGACAACGGGCCCCTGCAGGACTTGTGCTCTACTTGTCATATCAATTCACACATCGTGAGTACAGTTCCTTGTTTGTTTGTTTTGGTGTTTCCGATAATCGATTATTTGTTTTCAAAATTGATTATCGAATTTGAGACTATAATCGATCAATTTTCGATTATAATCGATCATCGGGACATCACTAATTAATAGCTTCTATCCATAATTCAGACCATTTCTAATAATTATATATTGTCAAGGTTCTCTTAAGAAATTTCAGAAGGCAAGTCATTTATGGACAGATGGGGAAAGTCCAGGAGAGAGTTGTATCAATTAGAGTCAATTGCATGTCAGAAGTGTTCCAATACAACACAGGTAAGCTCGATCAGTTAGAATATGTATACGTATCATATATGTATAAAAAGCTGTGAAAACACTGCATGACTGTTTTGAAATTGTCAACAGTAAACACAGCTGTGAATTACTTCACGTCGATTATGGAATCAAGGCACGTATGAGGATTTATGGGATGTTGCAAATTAGCTCATTAACTTCAGATTTAAAGGCATATGTCTCAGACCCTACATGCAATAAAGGCCTGGAAAGAACCCTGATTATGTTATTACATTGAAATGCTCTGCAGACAGGATTGGAAAGCGAGTTCTTTTACTGGTAGGTAGCCCAACAAAATTCAAATGTCAGAGCATCAAAATAAATGGACTTTGTACTACAACACTATATATATACTTGTTACCTTTGTTTCACCCATGCTCTGGAAGGTGGTTCATCAAAGAATTGCACATGAACTTCTGTATTTTTTCCTGGTTGGAAACACCTCTTCTTGTTAGGGTGATTACATATGAGGGCTGGCCACCAAGGATAGCCTTCCAATTTTGCCCACACTAATTCTCCTACTTGAGGTACGGAAGCTGCAAAAGTCATGCATGATGATCTGAATAAAATCGACCTGTTACAAATGATCCAAAAAGAAACATGTATACTAATGTCATCTATCTGTATTGATATTTGAAACGAACTGGACATAGCCCGTAACATCAATATTATTGCCTTTCAATTGCCGGTTTTGGCACGCACTGGTGCCATATCTAACCTGCAGTATTGCACTCCATATGTCACAATGAATTACACTTCTGGATGGCAGCTACTGCGACATACGGCTACACTACAGAATCAGATTAAAGGCATAATAAGCCCATGGATTGATTATGCAATGTTGACAAATGCTAGAGTAACTGGCACCTTGTGTAGTTAATAAGTACGTAATCTTATAGCCAAACGTGTATTAGTTTGTCCAATATCACTGCTGGTTACATTACAAACAAGACTTGAAATCGGTTGTTGATATGTATCAACGTATCGTTTACGTGCCGTAAATGTCATCCAGGAGTCAAGCGATGACGTAAACATTTGTGCGGCCCGTATGTTTTGGACGCCAGATTAAATGGAGGTGTCAGCGGTGTAACCACGGCCACGGACTAAACATGGAAATGGAGTAAAACACACGTACTAATCACGCACGCACGTGGACAGCCCTGCCAAAAAGTTCCTTATCACGAGCGTCCATGTTTACGAAATCACTGATGATAGTATTGCGTACAACCGGCCGCGTATGCGTGCGAAAATGTCCGGTCCACTATAAATCTGTATCACACCCGCTTCGCCGGCAGCAGTTTGAAACTGTAAACAACTGATTTTTGGACTGCGGGTTTCAATTTAATAGACATTTCTTAGTAACCAGCAGTAATAATTTGGACAAACTAATAGTAATACGCGTTTGGATGTAAGGTTATGTACTTATTAACTACACAAGGTGCCAGTTACTCAAGCATTCGTCAATATTGCATAAGCAATGGGCTTATTATACCTTTAAGCATGCTCAACAATTTACTATTTGTTTCAACAGCAGGTAATGTTGCCTATAGGCCATTCGTGTACAGCTGTGTTGGGATGACGATCGAGGTAATGTACGTGTGTATATGTTCGTGCGTGCGCAATCGCGCGCGTGTGCGTAAATTATTGTGGGCTTAATTGTGCTCGTGCTAGTATGTGATGGCTATATCGCCGATCATCCCCCCCCCACTCCTCGGTACGGATTTACGCCCCTGATCCTGTGATAGTAATACTACTAGTACTACTAGTAGTAGTACTATTACTTAGTATTACTAGAGTAGTAATACATTATTACACAGGCCCGGCGGGCCTGTAAATTTTCAAACTAATTTCTACCCCTGTAATTGCAGTTGTAATGAAACATGGTCACGATCTTGAATTATTTTCATACTCACCCTTTCCTGATGCTGGCAGTGGCTCGGTACGTTTAGAGATTTTATTTCCAGTGGAAGTGGAAGTGGACGGTGTACCTGGGCCTGGATTATTTTTCTCTACATACGACTTTTTCACGTTTTCCTCGGGAGATCGGCTCTTGATTTCCTTATTATTCGAGCCATTCAACTTCTGCTCTTTTGGAGATACCGTCTTAGTAAAATACTTGAATAAAGTGTTGGGTTTTGACATTTCTGCAAAATTACACAAATCAAAATGCAATCGAACACACCACGATACACATGCCGCAGTGAAAGTTGGTTGTTGTGGCGGTGTTTAGAAATACCATTTAGCAATTTGGGGGTGGGTCCGTAACTCATGGGATCTGAATATTGTCGGTGTTATAGCAGTTACACATCAAACCCTTAAGATAGCACACTAAATACAATATTTTAATAGAAAATTCCGAACTTTAGTAGTCACAGTTTAATAAGTAACAATAGGCTTCGGATGTGATCAATGAGAGCCCACGTAATTAATAGACTGTTCCATATACCGGAACCGGAAATACCAAGTGGCGGGAAAATTCCGATTGTTTAGCCGGTCATTCGATAGTCTAAGGCGTTTGCGGCAGGGTGTTTCTAGAAAAAATTAGATATCTGCAAAAAATTTAATGCATAGATCTTATACAATTAATCATTAAAATTTAATATTAAGTGCTAGCTTTTTTTAGTTAGCATGTATATTACATCTACTGACAGGCTAAATATCAGGCCAACCAGATTTATCACGTGACAGAAAAGCCCGCGAAACTTGCCTTTGTTTACATCATGGACGTCGTACCCTGATATTTTTACTGGTGAATTGCTACTAGGTTTCGCACGTTTCATTAGTACTGATGGTATTGTAGAGAATGTTAACTACAGGTAGAAGTACACCATAAGATGGAGAACTTCCAGAAAATTGAGAAGATTGGCGAAGGCACTTATGGCGTCGTCTATAAAGCTAAAGATAGGACAACCGGCCTCATGGTGGCACTGAAAAAAATCAGACTTGACACGTAAGCAGTTCTGCGTTTGTTACAGCACTAGTAAATTATAGTTGCACTGTCAATGAGTTCCACAAAGTCAACAAATATATATATTAGGATATATACGTTCTAGGAGATCATTACCCCCAGTCCCTAGACACAGTGTCAGGGACGCTCATACTCATACCCAGCTAACAAAGTAATGTTCCTTGAATGTTATGGGAATGTTTCTTTTAGGTTAGCAGAACATTATTCAGTAACGTTCT